TAAAAATACCCAGCAATACTTTAAGTAAAGGCTCAGTTCTAAAACACACAGACAGCCATATGATCATGTGATTTGGTTTATTTTGAACATCCTGATGTTAAGGTGAAGGTCTGTAAATTCTGCATGACAATAATCCTGAGAGGAGTTAAAGCTTTTATCACTTCTGAAGGTCATTAATAAAAATGTAAGATTCAATTCTAGAAACATTTCTGAAGTGAAAGTAAGACGACAGAGTTGATCTTTTAACGTGGCCCTTGAGAGTGTGGTTAGGCTCTAAAATAACACAGAGGGAACCATGTGCTGAGCTCCAGAGATAAGAGCAGGCACTACTTTTTCATGACTGCTCAGGGCCTGTATCAAGGATTTCTGTTTTGGAGGAATTGGAGTGAATAAGATTATTTGTTGAAGGTAATTTCCTGTTGAGTGACTTGTTTGTGCCATACTTCTTTAGGATTTGTGGAGGATTCGAGCGCCATGTGGAACCTGTGAGGGCTTTGACGTGACACCCATGGATGAAATGGTCCAGGTAATATTTTTCTGTCATTCAGATGTTTTCTTAGCTGTCAGGTTTTACATCCACTAAATCCACTAAAGTGTGTGCTTATGTTTTGATCACGGAGGAGAAATGTTTTACGCTATAAATAGAAAATACATGATAGGAGAGGGACGGGGACATGTTAAGTGAGTGGGTATGATGACATCTGCTTGCTTAGAGGGTTTTTTATGGAAGAGGAACATCTTCAGTTGATTTTATTAGATTAGGTGTACAGAATGAGACAAGTAGTAATATTTGCATAATTCAAACTGTACTGCAGCAATATCTTTTAATATTTGTAATACAACATAATCATGGGAAAATGCTCCTTGTATATCAGCATATATTTTCTGGTTGGAACATTGGAAGAAGAGAGTAACAAGAGAACAGCAAGGTTTGTGATATTTAGCTAAAGTTAAAGGATAATTCTTTTATTTTTGACCCTGGTCAAATGATTAATAAGGACAACATTTTCAGAATTGGTCCAATGTTGAGCAAGAACGCTGTAACTGCCAACTGTGAAAAGGCGTGAAGACAGGTGTCCTCCACAGGTCGTCAGTGAAAGCTTTGTTGTCTTCACACTTCTGTCTTTGATGAAATCTTTTCCATTATGCCATCAGACTCTTAGATTTACAACCTGAACCTGTGGCAAACACTCTTGTGTGTAGTGTTCTCATTCAATATTGGACCAATATATTAATATTCTCAGGTGAGAAAACAGAACAATACTTAGTAAGAGTTGAACTGGCTCTGTTTTGAGTTGCCCCAGTTCCCACAAAACATCAGTTTGTGAAAACATAACCAACCACATCTGTCCCTCCAGCAATCTCTGGATTACCGCGAGTCCCGCGAGGCAGAGCCCCATCCTCTGTGGGAGTACCCGTGCCGCGCCCTGACCCAGTCCACAGCCGTCATGACCTTTGACTTCACACAGTGTGTCCCTCAGGAGCCCATCATCAGTCAGGGCTCACTGCCCTTCACAAGGTATAATCTCTCTCTGTTATTATAATCACACAAGTGATTTGCAGGCTTTGGTTGCCACAGGTAAACAGACCATATGGGGAGCGACTGAGGCACATTGACCGAAACGCATCTTCTAACTGCTTTTTAATTTATCTGCTATTTATCATAGCTGTTAATAGAGATGAGGCAAAATGTCACCTGGACAAACAAACCGTGATACAAAAGTATCTGTTTGTGTTTTGTGGAGAAACGTTCGACTGGTGTGATAATATTACATGTCATTTATCTGACGCTGTTATCCAAAGCAACATGTAGCAGCTACCAGGGGCCATTCAGGGTTCAGCTTCTTGTCCGAGGACATGGCATGGGCTGGGATTCGAGCCGCCGACCCCTGATAGAAACTAGTCAGACTGTAAACGATGTACAGTGAATGGAAGACAGAGTCATGGCATATCTGCTGCCTGCACCAGAAGCCACAAAATATGGCCTATTGCCCCAAGTGGCTGATTTGTCATCAGGCGATAGCCGACCAAGTCCTAGATCACGCAGCTCAAAGTCAGTTTGTCAGTTTGAGCTGCCATGAGACTCAAGAAAGTCACTCAGTGAAAAATGACAAACTTTGTCCTCAAACATTCTCAGTCGGTAACTGTGTTGAAATGTCTGTTCCAGGGTTGGTCGTTGCCATGGTGTTGCATTGTGGATGGAATACCAACTAACCCATGACATCAGTGTCAGTGCAGGTCTGATTGGACCCATCAGTGAGCAGGTGACTTTTTTCTCTTTCTTTCCTGAACAAACTGAGCATCTTGGTACCCTGAGCTTTTCTTATTGTTATCTTAGCAACTGTTTCTTTTTTTTTTTTTAAACTTTGTTTTTATTTTTGTTTTGCATAGTTATTTARACAGACATGTAACAGAAAAACAAACAAAAAAAGCACATACATAAAACGGGTAGAAAAAAGGTCATAGAGTCACTTTGTTATTATATAAGTAGCTTGGGGGAGGGAGCCAACCAGAGTATRTGTACATGTGTCCAGGATAAGAGGTAGGTCCTCTTGTTTGACCCAACAATGAGTATCACGGGGGCATTTCAAGAAAAAAGTCTGAAGTGAAAGTCCATTGTCCACCGGAATTCCCGACGCCCGCCGAAAGGGGGCGCTATATTCCACAAGCATACAAAAGGGCAGCAGACCTTTGTTTTTATCTGCATTACAGATGGATATACTTACATGCATACATATACATCTTCAAGAATTCACACACATTTTWATACATTTATACCTTTATCAATACCGTAGCTGTATATTATCTAAACGGATTCAAAATGAGTTGACCATTTTCTCCATTTATTYGTGAATTTGTCCATGCATAGGTTTTAGGAGAAAGTCAGCCTTTCCATATGATACATTTCTTTTACAGTTCCAATCCATTCCCCTTTTGTMGGGGGTTCTTTGTTAAGCCACCTTCTTGTAATGCATTTTTTACTAGCTGCCAACATTATTTTAAGCAAATACTTGTCACTAGAGTTCTTAGCAACTGTTTCACATCTTAAAGGAGTTATTTGTGAGTTTTTGCTATTACATACAACATTAGCATTAATGGCTGTTTACTTACCAATATAAAGGAAAGAAATTGGGCCTCATTCACCAATATCTTCTTAAATAAAGAAAAACTATATCATTTGATTCATGCCGCGTTCTTAAACTGCAGAACTGTTCACATCTGTTCTCTTATATTGATGAATGCCATGTTTTAGCATAGGTAAACGATCCGTGCCTATAAAAGTGCATTAGACTGCAGTAAATCCCAGAAACTGAACATTTAAGAAGCCAGGAATGACTGAATGAAAATCTAAAGATATATTTTGTAGTGTCAGCAGTGCCTAAAACGAAACATGGAATGCAGTTACACGTTCAGTTAAAGCTGTATCAGCAGAAAGTCACATAATTGAAGTTAAAAAAAAATTGTTGGATATCAGATTGAAGCTAAAATAAATATTTTCAAACAGAGAAGAGAGAATGGGGGGAAAAAAGGAAAGGAAGGTGCACAGAGTTATCTGAGCTGGAGCTGTGCATCTTCGGAAACACAGCACTGCAGGTGAACCCTCTGAGCGTCTGTGGATACTCGACCCTGCCCATGCTGGGTCATGTTCAGACAAAATGTTTCAAATAATATTCGGGTTCAGGTTCCGCTCGGTGCGCACACTGTACCCTCAGACCTGGATGCACGTTGAAGGACAGTGGCTGAGCCATAAAGGCAAATATAACTTATTGCAGTTATTGAAGTAAAAGTAATTTTGACTTAGTGGTCCTGACTAAACTCGTTTTTTGAAAGTCACAACTTTAAATTGTAATTTTAAGACCAAGGTTCTGAGTTTGAAGTTTATTTCAAGTGGATCAGTTGTGTTGACAGTACACGTTCATTAAGGAAACCAGAGCATCTTTTGTGTAGCTTCTGGACGTTTCTTAATTCTTCATTTGCTGCTGCATTGTTTTCTGTAAAAAGGAATGTAATGGTGTGATTGTCCTGCCTTCTCCTGCAGGGTGACTGTCAGTGGGGTCGACACAGGAAGCAGGGAGTGTATTTCTTCCGATCACCGTTGGAAACCTCAGATGACGGCAGAGTTGCAGTGTCTTACAGCTTCACCTTTGAACCCAGTTTAGGAGACATTAAGATGGACTTCAGCATCGAGACTCAGTGATGTGGAACACTCGACTGAAGAACGAACTCTTAACACTCACTTACCTTGTGTCACTCTCTGCATTTTCATCCAATAGCTGAAACATTGTGACAAGTGTTATTCCTAATCCTGACCAGAAGCCAGTGTTGTTAGACTGTGGAAGATGAAGGCTCTCCACCAAAGCCCAGAATGTTATTAACGGTCATATTAACAACTCTAAAATACCTCCATCATTAAAGGCTGATGGATATTTGTTGAAGCATCGTATTAGGGTCATTACAGCAACAGAGATGAGTGAGTTACTGAGTCAAACCTAAATGTTGAATAAAGTTTTATATTGATTGTATGTTTTTGGTATCTTTACTGTAGGTGACTCAGGCTAATGATACTGTTCAGTTTGTTCTCGTGTGCCACTTTTATCCTAACACTGATGAACTAACATGCCGATTACACTCCGTCAGAAATATAATGCATGTAGTTAAAACTAGCACAGTCCTACAGTAAATCAAACCATTCATGAACTGCATTTTAAGATGCTGTAGAATTTGATTTACATTTTAAAAAAAACAGCCCAACACTGCTAAGTGCATCCTTCATAAGGCTACAGCAGAATCCATCACTACACTTGTCATGCAGCTGCAGTAATGACGGAACATTGTAACCTAACCTATAAGGACCGATTGCTGCTGCTGTAATTGTAACATGTCTCAGCTGTTGGTGCTAATGCGTCAGTGAGCGTCTGGTTTGTGATGCTATCAAAACAAGAGGTTGTAGCCTGGCTTCAGTTTGTTGTATTTATATGAAACAAAAAAGAAACAGCATATCTTATTGCCAAACTCTTTGCCTTTATATACACAAATAAGCTTGAAATACATCAGCTTGTATCCTGTGTGCTTCAGTATACTGTTACTACATCGATTATCAGATGTAAATGAGCAGAACGTTTCAGTGCATTTAGACGATCCAGAGGATTTCAGTTTTCACACTGTCAAAGCTGCAATGCCAAGTCCAACTAAGAAATTCTTTGTTAAGGTACTTACTGTTGTGATATAACCAACAGCATGGTGCTCAACACTGGCTAGATATGGAGGAAGCAAAGGGCTGTGTTGTCATTTGAAACGTATCACATCAAACCTGCCGCCTGAGCTCCAGACAGACAAACAGAAATCTCCGTCACATCAGAAGTGACATCCACAAAAAAAAAAAAAAACAGTTTTACACATGTCACTGTTGCAGAGGCAGTTGTGTCTTCAGGGCCATCTGAGGATGGAGGGAAAATAAGGAATGTGATGTTATGAAGCATATGGGATGAAGGTGTGAACTCTGCGGGTTTCAAGCGTCCGTCAGCGTGTTGTTGTCCAACATGATCTTCTCTCCTGGCTTGAACGCTGGCCTCCCCATGTACGGACAGCTGGCACATCGGAACGCATCGCCAAGGTAACACTGCCACAAACACATGACGGACATCATTAAAATCCTCATGTCTTCACACTGTGAACAGGTAAGTATGGTTATCATCACAGTGGCTGTGGGTGAAGGCCTCCACCAACCAGTGAGGTTTTGGTCCAGGCTCAATTGTAGTGAGTGTATATCATCATACTTTGTGTGTGATTAAGTCATGGTCAAAAAGTGTCTTGTGAGGTCACAGGGACCTTTGACCACCAACAGTTCACCAGTCCAAGTGAACGTGTGAAGAATCCTGACGACATTACCTCGCTGGGTAATTGAGATATCTTGTTCATGAGAAGAGGAAAGACAGACAATCTGAAAACAACTCGCTGGATCAGAGGCATAATAGATGTACTCACACTTCCACAGGCAGACTTTGGTAGATCTTTCTTTTTTTGTCCTTTACTCTCCTCATCCAACTCTTCAGCAAGACCACATGTGCTACACATGAGACATAAATCACAGAATGTGTCAATCCTTTTGAAGGCCACGGTAAATGAAGAACAAACCCAGCTGCTTCTGTTACGGTTACAACCTGACACGCCCCCACACGCTTTCGTCTATGGGTTTTGACCTCACCAGTTTTTGCAGGCTTTCTTCTTCTTTCCAGCTCCTTCCCCACAGCTGGGGGCTCTGAGAGAAGCTGGATCCGGTTTCTTCAAGTCGTCATCGTCCAGCAGAGCATCCGAGTCTACCATTTCCTACAGAAAGACAACAGAAGGGACAAGACAAAGTCAGTAAACACAGGAAGACGAGAGCCCTAACATGATTTCTGACATGTCTGTATGTACATGTAAACCCCACCTAGCCAAAATGTACAGATTCCACATATCGATAAGAACTCACCACATCATCGTCGTTCATGTCATTGGCTGAGAGTGTCCACATTTTGATAGTGTTGGGATCCAGGGCAGGTTTCTCTGCTGCAACCGCAGACATCAGCAAATATTAGCTTCACATCACGATTATTCCATCAGTAAACACGATTTAGTCAATTCTTTGAATATGCAATGAAGGAGGCTTAACATTGGCTCTATATTTAAATCCTGTCAAATCAATAATCCTTAATATGTTTACTAGTAAAAGAACAGAAAATATATGTGTAAAAAGACTGAAACACTAACTACTGAGAAAGATTTTGTTATGGATGACTTCTAATTGGAATTCACTGATATTTCTACTTCTCTACACTACCACCAGTGGGAAAGCCATTCAAACACCAGTGCCATTTTCTTCAACTTACATGAAGCGGTGTGTGAGATATGACTGGTTTCTTTACCTTTGTTGAGTCAAACCACAAACATGAGAAAAATTACTTTTCCATAACCTGACCAGTGGTTCCAGACAGATGAACAATCCCTCCACTACGTGCAGTGACCTCCGTGAATTTAAACATACACTCAGAAGAAAACGAAGATAGTGTGAGAAACCCACCTGGCTTGGGTGTTTTTTTCCCGAATGACAGTTTAATCTTGCTGGATGATCCAACCTCATAGTTGGGTTTGGAGGCAGATATGCGGAGTCTAGACAGTGTGTTTCCTTGGTAACCGGTGGCCGCCCTGAGCGAGCTCAAAGCCTCTGGGCTCAGTTCTGCTTTACTGACCTGAAAGAAGAGAAGTCAACAGGTCAGAAAGGAGACTTTGTTTAAAAGGATTTAATGAAAGGTATAATTATTTTATTTGGTCAAGCCCAGCTTTATATTTCTGGGATTCTTTCCTAGACTGCACAGTGTGGTTTGGTCAGTGCAACAATTCTTTCATGTGCAAACATGAATGTACAACAATGCATGTGAGCAGATTTCATCCTGCAGCTCTGTGCTGGATCCTCACCTCTGTCACAGACATGAAGCCCGACATCTTCAGAGCTGATGTCAGCTTCTCAGCAGTCCTCACAGTCTGCGTCTCAGCTCCTTGAGCAGAGAAACAAGTCCAACACGCTCACACACAATGACAACAAAAGAGCTCATGTGGCACTTCTAATTGACTCTGACTTTAGGGTCAACAATCCCTCTGACTCTGACACAGTCATTGTCTTGACTTTCAATCCACAATGCTATTTGCACTTACTGAGTGAAAAATACAGAACAAGACTTTTTTTCTCACCATTAACTGCTTCATCCAGAACTATCTTCCCACCAGGTTTCAGCAATCGGGCCATCTCAGCTAGAGTCTTTAAGCTGTGGATGGAGGAGCTGTCGGCCAGAAGGCTGGAGAGCACCCAGTCGAAGGTGGATGCTGAATGGGAGGCTGAGGGGAGGGGACCGAAGATATTTTTACTCCTTACACAGACTCATGCGATCATGTGTATAATAGGGGTGCATACCCAACAGCAACATTTGTTACGATTAAACCACTCAGTTGTAGCCGTGTTTTAAGAATCAGATTAATAAAGTGTGTGGGTTTTTTTCAAAATAAAAGCATGGTATCATTTTTGTCACTCACATAGCAGCAGTCTTTCCATGTTCTCCACTGACACTCTTCCATCTGCACCGACAGCAGCACCCAGCTCCTCTGCATATTGTTTCAGGGCCGCTGGTGCAGACGGCTGGGCCCAAACAAAGAGCACAGTGTCCCCTGCTCTGACGCCAAGATCTGCCATGATCTCCTGAAAGAAAGAAAAGCTTCCCTCAATCTCTCTGTAAGCTCCCTGATCGCATTCTAACAATACTAAAGGAGCATAAAGGCACACATTGTATATATAACAGTCCTCAGACAGTAGTGGGAGAGTCAATAGAGAGAGTCCATGGTTCAACCGCTGGTTCCATCCTTTCTTTTGACAACATGCAGCAGCAGCAGCAGAGTAAGTGTGACGAACATCAGTCGCACAGTTTCCAAAGGCAAACTCACTCTCGTGAATTATTCGAGAACATACAGTGAATGAGGACCCGTACTTGGACTCCTGCTTCTCGGTGTGATCGTGTGTGACTGAGGACACGTGTTCAGACGGTTTACTCGGCACGCTATGTGAGACGTGAGTTAACTAAGAAGTGTCAACTACCACAGTGGTAGTTGACACAGCTGGTTTTACTGGTGATGGCCAAAGGTTAGTCGTGTTCTTCTTCTTACACACAGTCTACGGTCGTGTTACGTCAAACAAACAGCGTGACGCAGGAGACCGGAGCGAACCGAGATAACGACACCGCCGCGGACACCGAGACTTCCGGCCACCACAGCCAGCGACACGGACCTGTTCTCTACGATCCTCCCGAAACGCTGCGCTGGATAAAACACTTTAAATTCCACATGTCATCATTACTCGGTCGCTGACCTACCTGCTGCGACTGTGGCAGTCAAAATGTCAAGTGGTTTCATCTAAACAGCTCTTCCGGTTGGGATTTTCCAAATAAAATCTTTGTTTATGTGTTTTGGTGACTCAAATAGATGGGCAGTGGACATATCGTACGATATATATGGAAAATATGAATTATTTTCCTCATGAAATACATAAAATAGCCCGATCTGCTACTGTTTTCTTTTTTCTTTTCAACCGCGAAAAATATATAAAGCGTTTTGATTTGAAGGGGACATATTCGTCATATCCGGACTGCGCTCAAACCAGCAGCCACTCATTTCACGGTGCGCATTTCTTTTAAGCATTACGTTTCGATTTTAGAGTGATTTCAAAATAAAGGCGAACTTCCTGTTGTCTTGATGGGCCGTCACATGAGTGGACTGGTCTGACTGGCTCATTTCCTATTTTTGACCTGAGCAACATCCAAACTACGAAAAACAAACTGATATTTGTTTTTGGTTTCAGATTCATACATGAGTCATGAAACAATGAGTCTTTTAATTTCTTGATTTTGATTTTCTAATTGAATATGAACAGAATGAATGATACAAGGATTTTCAAAGGACTTCAGTGGACCTATATAATATCCAAAGGAGTGAGGACCATCTATACTGTTCAGTTGGGTTCAAGAGGCACAGACTGAGGGTTGTGGGCTCCACAAAAACAAGTCCTTCATTTTGGTGTCTGGGATATTGCAGATTTAAAGAATTCACCCTCTTACAGTGACGATGGAGTGTGAGGAGGAGCTTAAGGCTAAGGTGGAGATTTAAGGCGTGGAGAGCCCACATAATAAATGTGAACTAAAAAGACCTGTACAAGCAGCTCACAGAGGCACTATAGGAAAACAATCTACAGAAACAATTTCCCTGGGAAACTATCAAGAGAAATTGGCCCACATAGATAATAATCTAATGGAGTCAGGCTGCAGGTATGAGGCCCCAACCCCTCAGGTGCATAAGAGTCTCTCCTGTGAGGTACGTCTAAAAAACGTCTTCACAGGAATGATATGCGCAGCCTGCAAATAAAGATTGACAATAGAAAGAACACCCCAGATGTGGTCCTCCATGGGAACAGATTCATAATCCATGCCTATAAACAATTTATTAACTGTGCGTACAGATTAGTTTTCTTATTTCAGCTAACACCAAGGGTAATACACTTTATTAATCTGATTCTTAAAACACGGCTACAACTGAGTGGTTTAATCGTAACAAATGATGAAGATGTTGGGACTCATTCATTCAAATAAAGCTGTGGTGTGGGTATGCGTCCCTATTATACACACTTACACATGATCGCATGAGTCCGTGTAAGGAGTCAAAATATCTTCGGTCCCCTCCCCTCAGCCTCCCATTCAGCATCCACCTTCGACTGGGTGCTCTCCAGTCTTCTGGCCGACAGCTCCTCCATCCACAGCTTAAAGACTCTAGCTGAGATGGCCCGATTGTTGAAACCTGGTGGGAAGATAGTTCTGGATGAAGCAGTTAATGTATGTATACATTTTGCCAGAGTTTGGGGTCATTTGTCTTATTTTCCCACTGGTGTAGTTTTATTTTATGTCAAACAGCAATATTAGATTGTATTGGCTCAGTTTTTCAGTGTAATTGGGATCAAATAACCTAATCATGAAAAATTAAACATCATCAGCCCCTTTTTCCAGCTTTGTCTGAGGGAAGGGCCACAGTGTCAGACTGGGAAACCCCCTGGACTCTGTTATTAGCACTCAGGTGTCCAAGTATTAGAATTAGTATTAGAAAAAGGTCAAAGCATTTCATCAGCCTCTGGGAAAAGTGTTTACTATGGAAAAGAAAAGTTCCCTTTGCTGCGGTCTTTTGGATTTTGATCCTGTACAATGTACATTCACAAAAAAAGGGAAAGTCTGAAAAAGCACAAAAGATCTGCTTTTAAATGCAATTCAATTTGTGAAGTGTAACCTTGTGTAACCTGTGTGGTTTATGACCTGAAGCTGGCTTGCTTGTGGAACAGAAGAGACACAGAGGTTGTCCTGTCTATGCTGTCTTCCCATGTGAGAGGACAGTCACTTTAAATCCACCACAGTGAGCTGCGCTCACTTGGACCCCACCATTGGCTCACAGAAGAGGTATAGTTTGCATTTTATTCTTTTAAAGCTGTAGTTCAAATGATAAATCAATAAAAGACAATGGTAGATCATGTTGTTATTACGAAATAGATAAGTTATTTGTTATGCATCATGCGTAATACTTTGAAAATTGGCCTCATTTGACTTTACTTGAAATCCAAATATTTATTTATGTATGTTCTCTTACCGGTAAACTTTAAGGGCAATACTTTTCTTTGTGAACATTGAAAATGTTCTGGTTAGTCTCTAGACTGTATATACAGTACATTCAGACTGCCACAATAATAAATGCTGCCTCAAGTTTAACAAACTTAAATGCAAGCTACTTTTTATATCAATCTGAATTTCTTTAGGCAAATCAATAAAAACATGACTAACTATTCACACAGTGGTAACGAGTACAGGGGAAAAAATATTCATACACTGTATATGTTCATGCATAGTTCGGTTCAGTTTCTGTGTTTTCATTCATCAATTGTTACGTCATTACTCCCCTCTGCAGTCACAGTGAACACGTGACGTCTCTTTCACAAGAAGGTCGCCTTGTATCCGTACCGTAAAGCTTAGAGAAAGTGCGCACCGCGACATGGGTGGGTGCCGGTGTCACCGCAGGACTTCCGGTCTCACTCTCGTCAGCTTGATCGCCGAGCATTTGTCGCTGAGTCGCGCGGAAGTGACGCAGCAGAAGCAGCGGCGGTGCAGCTCGACATGGCGACCCTGCTGAGAGCCCTGCGGGCTGGAAGGGCACTGCGGGGGCTGGGAGGCGGTAAGGCCGGGCCGCTGCGTCTCTGTAGCCGCATGTTGTACACTCGCAGCCCGGGAGACGACTCCTGTCGGTGCTGGTTCTCTCTGGTTGCGCGGCGTTGAAACGAGCTCGCGCCGACGATAGCGGCCCCGGCCAATGTCACTTGTGACAGAAGGTGACAGCGAAGGGCGACGCGGTGATGCCAGTGGTTTAAAACACTGAAAGTCGGGTGGAGGAGTGTTGGTGGTGCAGCGGGGTCAATGTTACCTCAATGTTAGGACATGTGCTGCATGGTGAACACGTTCCTGCAGCTGGGGGGGGCGTTTCTCTCTGGTTATGCAAGCTGTCAGTGTTGATCAGGAGCAGCAAACTCCTCCATCAAGGTTGTAATGTTCAGGTGCACTGGGTTGACTTTAAGGAAACACAGAGAGAAGTCGTATTCTAGCATTCACACACACATGACGAAGTATTTACTCATTATTTCATTGGTAGGAATCTAAATCTAATCGGTGCACAGCAGTTGTCAGTGGCAACTTTACACATTGAAAGAATGCTCTTGTTTTCAGGCAGATGACCGACTTCCTCTGTAGTTTGAACATTCTGAAGTCTGCTAAATTCATACGATTGACAAATGGTACCAATAATAAACCTGCACACAGTATGTAATTACATTCACAGGCTTTATACTGGGTAGAAGTTCTGTTATGTATGGCTGAAGCTGGAGTAGGGGATTTATTGTGCAGGGTGTCGCCTGTGGCTGTTCAGGCACCGGGGATATAAGAATCATTCAACAATTGTGAAGAGATGCACACTAAAGGTTGTTTCAAAGGACCTTAATGTTACTGTACACCCTCCACACAAACTTATTAAGACATATGAGTCTTAAGTGCCTGTTAAAGAACGTGATTCACATTTACTTTTGGAGCGATTTGCAGAGAGCAGTAAGGAGAAGGCCTCAACCTCAGAAATGGATTACATTGTCCAAAGAAGAGTTGGTTAACTACCAGTAGAAAAGGTGTTAGTGGTATCTTCAGCTCTGAGTGGAAAAACAAAGGGATGGTAGTTCAATGGAGAATTGAGGAGACTATCTATTTCTATCCTGTCTGTGTATTCATTCATTCATTAGCCATTTCTGAGCTACAGGGAAAAGTCTTCAAATATTTAGCCTGCATATTCAGGTTATTCTGAGTTCTGGATGCAAGATTTCCCAATGGAGTTTTGTTCTCTCTGACTGAAATTCTGAGAAGCTAAACACAATATTCATCCCCTCCAGCGTTGGCTGCACCTCCAGCAACAAACCCCCAGTGCAGCAGCCTGAGACGAGGCTTCCAGTGCTCAATGCTGAGGCTTCAGGATGAATCCAAATCTGACAGACCCCCAGACTCCTCATCCACAACCTACCATGAGCACTACCAGGCTCACTCAACCGAACAGGACACAACAACAGCTTCACACGGAGCTTCTGCAGCTGAGCCAGAAGCAGAGGACGCTCCCAGGCCAAACACCAGGTCAGCTGGTACACGTCTTCAGCTGGCAGGATATCCGACATTACCTATAAGTGTTTGAATTTCTATGTATTGAAGTTTTAACTGGTGCTTTCTGATAAAAATGTGTGTGTGTTAAGTTACCAGGACCAGAGCGGAGAGCAGGGTGAAGAGTACGAAACAGAGGAGCAGCTTCAAGCTCGAATCCTGACCGCTGCTCTGGAGTTCGTCCCGCAGCACGGCTGGTCGATGGAAGCCATTGCATCTGGTGCTGAGGTGAGCTGTGCTGTTAGTCAGATGGCTTTGAATAAAAAAGGCTGCTACTTCATGTAGGGTGCACTGGGTTTCCACCGGCTCTTGTGTATCTCACTTGACTTAAACACCTTGCACTCAGTGTTGAACTCCTAATCAAGAGCTGAGAATCTAGAATCTACATTGAATAACAATCGAAAAATATTATAGTTCTAATATGTGAGTTCTGAAACAAAGACAGTCTAACTGTCCAAAGCAAATGGAGCTAAATGAGACTATGTGACTGCTGCTATAGACCACGGGCAAAGCTGGAACACACTTCAGTCCTTTAATGCTGCACACTGAATGAAAATGCCAAAAATGTGTGTGAGGTTCAGGCACCAGACGTTCTTCAGCCCATTCAGCTGAGATGAAGCCCATTATTAAGTTTCTATATTATGCTGTCTTATGTTTGTATTGTTGCATTTAAAAACCATGAGAGCATTGCAGAGGAATGACACCATGTTCACTGTGGTGCAAAAATGTAACCAGACTTTTACCAAACTCAAAAATGATATTGTACTGACACAATGTTATCAGGATGTTATTATATCCACCTGTTACAGAGTGGCATGTTGGTGTGTAGCCTGTCATCAACATATATGTGTGATGATCAATGTAAAAACACACACTCAAAACCACACTCAACTAACCAGAATCAGGTCATGACCACTACAAAGATGTAGCAGAAAGATGTGAATGTAGCATCCAAGAAAACATATAAAGATAATGGAGCTATATCATGTAGAATGACGTCAATGTTTTTAACATAACCATTAACCACAGCGTCCCCAGTCTGATCAGGGATCAGCAAATTAGTTAATGGGAATTTCTAATTGTTTGTGTTTGTTGATGTTCGTTGGCACCAGACACTTGGCCTGTCCTCAGCCTCCACTGGTATGTTCCACAACGGATCTGGAGACTTGGTTCTACATTTCATCGCCCAATGCAACTCACAGCTGACAGAGATCCTGGCTGAACAACACAAGCAGGTCCAGCTTGGCCAGGCCGAGTACGTATACCACACACACATACACACGCACTTTTGTTTTCCTTCTCATTTTTGCGTCTGACACATGTTCAAACTGCGATCAAAACCCCAAAGTCACTCATGGTGAATCCTGCGAGCACCTCCTATCAGGAGTGTGAGCACAGGGTTTCGAGTGAAAGCATTACAAGATCTGAGCGTGAAATCAATAAGTTCTCAACCTGAAAGACTCTTGAATATAGAGAGGGAAATCTCAGTAAAATAGATGATGGATTTTATTGACTTTTTGACACAAAGCATTCTCAGTTTTTCATGTCACACAACTCCATGAAATTGCTTATTTACATGCTGGTGTTTTTGTAACTTCTAAAGTGGATCTCCATCTGTGTTCCAGACCAAAGAAGACTGCTGACTTTCTGAGAGATGCTGTGGAGACCAGACTGAGGATGCACATCCCCTACATTGAAACATGGCCACAGGTAATGCGTGCATAGTGATGGGACGCTTTTAGGACTAAAGCAGAAACAACATTTGATCCTCAACTTTGTGTCTGTGTCCTCAGGCGATGAGTATCCTGCTCCTCCCTCACAACATCCCAGACAGTCTGAAGCACCTCTCCACCCTGGTAGACGACATCTGGTACTATGCCGGAGACCGATCCACAGATGTGAGTGGATCCCATCACCCTCGATCCCCTCCTTCTTCTGCTCATACCTTCCTGTCCCCCTTTCATCACCACCCCCACAATATCCGGCCTGCCACTCTCCAGGTTACTCCCACTCCCCTCACTAGCTCTTGCCTCCGGCTGTGTCCACACTAATGTGCCTTGAGATAATGTATTATCATTATTATGATTTGGCGCTATACAAATAAAATTGTTTAGAATCAAATTTTAGTTTACAACATACATCACTTTATTTATATTCACACCTGGTGTCTACACTCCAGAGTTTGTGAACACACCAAACAGAGACTTTTGAAACAATGATATATATAAAACTCAAAAATATATAAAACCCCCTCATTCTCTTCCTTCCTTTTTTTTATGTTTTAATTTCTTCCATGTGGGTCCATACTTACTTGTAGAGTTAAAACCGGGGCTTTACACTCAAACTCCAGATTCACAGGCGGATCTGTGAAATCTGAGTTGAATTCACAACTGGAGTTTAATTGACAATTCCGATTTCACATATCCCCACATTCTCTTCCTTATATAAATGCAGAGTGTTGTTAACATTGCTGTCAGTGATGGTCCCGACTCATCATCCCTACAAGGGAAGAAACCCCTGCTCTTTCTTTTTTACCGTTGCTATTCCTCATCTGCAGTGTTTTCTATCACTAAGCCACCAATTACAGCTTGATAGTAAACATCAGCTTTGGTGATGAAATGATTTAGAAATATAATAAGAAGCCTGTTATCTGAATAATAGTCAAAGATATTAACTGTAAAACGTCACACCCAAGTGTAGTCAGATCAGTGGTTATAATTCGTTAAGTAGATTGTTGTAGCAAAGTGTCAATGTATAATTTTCACTTTGTTGTTTGATAGCTGTTTTATTGTCGGTACATTGTGAAGGCTTGTATATTCTATATTCTTTTATTGATAAACTGTTGTAAACAGGAGGCATTGATCGACTGTGAAAAGGGACATCAGTCTGGAATCTACCGTGTCTGTATCTAACTCAGATCAAAGATTTTTTTTTAATCTTAATATGAAACAGATGAGAAAAGGCTAAAAAGTAGAATTTTAAAATAGTAAATGCTTCAGAGTTTTCAAGGCAGCCTGATTTACCCTGATGGAAAAACACATCCTCTGTTTGCAGGTGTTATCCAGACCTGTGCTTTCGAACAATGTCCCTCTTTCTCACTGATCTGGAAATTTGTCATATACAACGTGCATGAGTTGTTTCTGTGAATATTTTTTTTCATCCTTATTGTTTCACTATTTGTTTCTTTAACATGAAATCTGTAGTAGAAATAAAACTGCCTTTATTTGGGGGGGGGGGGAAACGTGCACGTTGTGAACTTTCTGCACCACACCTCTGTCATGTAGATGAACTGGTACACCAAACGGGCAGCGCTGACAGGCATCTACAACACCACAGAGCTAGTGATGGTCCAGGATTCCTCTGCAGACTTTGAGGACACCTGGAACTTCCTGGACAACCGCATCCAGGATGTAGTGAACATGGCCAGCACTGCCAAACAGGTAGCGTGCACCTTTGATACGTAGAAACACCAGCTCCAACTAAACCCTTCAGTGGACTAATTACAAAACTGACCTCAGAGTGTCATTCTCTTCCTGAACAAACTCTGTTGTCCTGTGAGTGAAAGTGAGTGTTAAACTGTCTTTGGATGACTGGGGCCTTTGTGTGTTCTACTTTATTCTCTAGGTGCAGTCGACTGGGGAAGCAGTTGTGCAGGGACTAATGGGAGCTGCTGTGACTGTGAGTATTTGCTGCAGTGATCAGTAATCTGTGCTCTTAATTGTGCTCTCCTCATGATATTAGTATCTGAATCATGAATGGAGATTTATACTGATTTATACAACCAGTGACTCTGCGTTTTACAAAGTTTCAAATTGTTTAAAATGATGAAATTTAAAAAATAATGTGGCTCATATCTTGTGTTTTACAGCTGAAGAACCTGACAGGAATGAACCAGAGGCGATGAAAACATCTACCACTGATCCTGACAGAGCGTGCAGGTCGTGTCAGGAGATGCAGATCATCTTCTTTTGGCCTTTATTTCTGATGACCTGTATGAAACGACTGTGGGAGTATTGGATTATGACTCCTGAGTAAGCTCTCATTTCACACAGGCCATACACGTCCCTAGGTTCACCTGCAGGACCAGTGGATGAGTCCGGTTTTCTTTCACTGCCCATCATGTTGTTATCCTGCTCAGATCTTTTTTTCTGTTTGTATGAAAAGACACAGATCTGTCATGTTGCTGTTGGATCAAGTGAGACTTCAATAAAGTAGTTTATTATTGTATATTAAACATTTCCGTGTCTTTAATTATTTAATTAAAATAAAATCATTGCATTTGAGCAAACAAATCCAGGAGTTAAGTTTTGCTTTTTAAAGTCACTATTGTAAACATTTCCCTAGGAGTATCTACACACAAATCAATGCATATACAATCGGAATAATTAGACTTTAAATTCGACACACAGTAAATCTTATCTAGACAAACAGCTTTAGCTCCTCAAAATGAAGAGTGCTTGCTTTTATTTTGAAAGGGTGATTTTCCAGGCACCGATGACCCGGATACGAAATAAAGGCCCCACCCCCAAGCCCGAGCGAGAGACCAATCACCAACCAGCCTTACGTCTCTCTCCAATCAGCCAACACTTCCTGCGGAAGTCGTGAAACTAGTGAATGAGATTCAACCACAGACTGTTTATGAGCTCCGCGTCAGTTTTCCACTTGTGCGACTGTAACGATGCCGTATGCGAACCAACCGACGGTGAAAATCACAGACCTCTCAGACGAAAATGTCAAGTTCGTCATTGAGAACACCGACTTAGCGTAAGTATCCGGCGGCTGTTCCGTTCAGAGGCTGTGTGCGGCAGAGAGCGGCCATTAAGAGCCCCGCACCAAAACAGTGCAGCTGGGACTCCACACGATGCACAGATCAACACACGCAGGTCGATCTGGTCTCTCGGTGAAATGTGTGACTTCTGATGCGCTGATCTACCAACATCGAGTGTTGTTTAAAGCCGGAATACACGAAGGTTTGAATGTTTCTTCCTGGATCTCTCCACCGATCAGAAAATGCTCTTCACAGCCACATTTCTCTGCGTGTCCTACAGAGTGACATGCTTTTATTCAGGAATATGAACGAAGCCATCTGTAGAAATATAGTCAGGACTAAAACCCGCAGTCTGGTTAATGTCAGTGCTACTGAAGTGGAGATTTCTGCCTCTGGATGAGAAGTGAACTCAATATGAGAAAACTACCTCTAAGATATGGATAGTGGTTGAAATCTATAGACACAAACATACGAATGAAGTGAAACAACCACAATGTTTACGTGAGATGTGTTTTAATTATTCAGAACGAAAACATATCACTGGAGATAAATAGCCCAAATCTGAAGGCTTTTCACATTCCCAGAGTGAATGAAGGGATGTGGACAGAGGAGACAGAAAGTCAGGAGGGGACAGGTGAAGCAGAAACGTGGAGAAAGTAAAGAAGGTGCAATTGATTTAAGATCTGACGACAAATATGAAGGAGGGAAAGGGACAAGAACCGATTTAGGAGCAGCTCAAGAATCTGCTGATGGAGAGACATGGAGGCTGTAAACCTGGAGAGGACAGGGAAACTGCTCTGAGGTCTAATTTAACGAGGGTTAGATACAGAGACATCAATTAGCACCAAGGTTTTTGGTTACGACAAGTTCAAAGATTTTGATCTGCTCCAAAATAACTGACAGGTTTTTATAAATTGCTTGAGACACAAAACACTTTACGAACCCGTCTTCTGCTGCAAACCATTGCACATTCAGAGAACTTAACACATGTCACAGGTAATTGCCACTTTCTGTCCCCAGTTTGGCTCCGCCCACATAATACATCACTGTTTCCAAACACAAAACGCATCTTTTAACAATAAAAGTATGTGAAGACTTATAAATGAAGGGTAATGTTGTTAATCTACAGTGGTTTGTAATGATCCCAGTTCAATGCATGTTCGGTTCACGCTGCACTTTCTCCTCTTCAGGGTTGCAAATTCCCTCCGCCGTGTCTTCATGTCTGAGGTCCCCACTATAGGTAAAGTAGCTTCTTGTTTGGCTAGATTTCATTTTCAAGTCTGACGAGAGCCAAACACACTGCAGTAGAGTACGGCTTTGGCATTTTACATATACAACTTGTGATCACATGCGTTATCATAGATACAAATCTCTATTCTAAACGATGATGTGTGTGTGAGAAGAGCTGGCCTGTTGCTGAACAACACATATTTGTGGTGGGCTCATTATGACTCAATAAACTGAGAAGGTTTCAAATGTAATTTTGAACAAAACTTTGATGTACTTCTTATTCACATGACACATTTTGACTTGTATTATGTACAGCTCAGGCATCTCTAATATTTACGCCCTTTTGTGCTAGTTCTCTAAGACTCTATGACGGTTACTCTGAGGTCTGTAATGCGAACCGCGGGTCCACCTGCTGGACTTTTATGCCGGATGAACATCCAATGTAGCAACTGCAGGGCCACAAGCCTGGAGCCACCTGATGTTTCACTCTAATCCATCTGAAGCCCAGTTACCAGTATCTGCTCTGAAACAGTCAGATCAGTGCGCTCCTAATATTAACGGAACAAATTTAATAACTGCTTTTCCTGCCATGACGAGGATTAGCCATCATTAACTTCATTACTTAAACTAATGCATTTCCCACTGGGATACACCTAAAAAGCTTCTCAGTCCTGTCCAGTGATCGTCCAGACATCAACTAATAAATACAAACATACAGCTGGTCATTCACCTGCATAAATTATAGATAGTTCTGCACATGCCCTGAAGTACACTGTAACTTGTCGTATTGGTTGAGGTGATGGGAAATGTCTGTACAAGACTTTGTCCAAACAGTAATATGTTACAAAAACTGAATTTCGTAACTTGATTTTTCATAACTGTTATTTTACAGCAATAGATTGGATCCAGATCGATGCCAATTCCTCGGTACTGCACGATGAGTTCATAGCACACAGAGTTGGTAAGTACGGTATTTGTGATGAGCCACCAATGCGACTTGATGACAGTAGTTCCACAATTTGTTTAGTGTCAAAATATTCATGTGAATGTTGAATCGATGCTTCGTGTGTTGCCAGGTCTCATACCTCTCACAAGTGATGACATTGTGGACAAAATGCAGTATTCTAGGGTGAGTCTACTGGTATCTGTCATTAATGTGGTATCCCAGTGACCCTTAAATGTACCTTCATTAATAATGGACTTTCTGCTGCTAGTGAACCACAAGTCAGACTCTAAAACACTACAAATGATTGGAATTTTCCCCAGTAGATCCAGTGATCCTCTCTCCCCTCATACACTAGTGCAGTGCTCCTTCTAAACCTGTCTGTCTGAAATGGACTTTTTGCTTAACCTGTGTTAATGCTGAAGAGCTACAGAATTATTCCATGTCATTAGTGAGTCCTCCTCAAACAGTTCTATAATACTACATCTATGGTGCAGAGTGAATTAGAAAACTGCATTTATCCGGCAGGTCTATCTGCAATGAATCAGAGTTGGGTTTTATTGCCAAGCAGGTTCACACATACAAGGAATTTGCTGTCGTGTATTTGTGCAAGTATAAATATAAAAAATATCAAAATACTATAAGCACCAGTGGAGGGATTGAGAATCTGTCCATTATTTGCCACAGGAAGTTAAAAATGTTCTTGTCAATGTTTATTATAAAATAAAACTGAATTTACATTATTGCTGTTCACAAATGTGGCTTTTACATAAGTGTGAAAGATTTACTTAACTTTTTTCCCCATCCATTTCAAAATAAAAGCTCTAACTCTAGCTCGATATAAAGCTTTACAACAACACAACAAATGTCGTGCTTTTACTTGAAGAGAACTTGCCAAACAGGAAGTGATTCTATGAATGTTGCTGCCATGACAGAGATCACCACCTGTGACACTGGTGGATGTCTGTCAGTCAATTATGGTGAAATAGAAATGATCAAATCGTCAACATGATCTGGGGGGACATCTGGGACAGATATTATTGGCCATAGACCAGTTGCTGTTGTTTATTTGAAGACGTGGAATATCCCACCCCCAGAGGTTGCATCTTTTATTGAATTTTCATTAATATTGAATGTACCCTCTATCCACATTCCACCAAACTCTGCACAGCATTGAATTAGTAGGCTGAAGAAAAGGATCAGCTGACACTCAATGCTGGAAGATGGTCTTCTGCTATTATGCAATATATTTTTTTTTTAGATATCCTAAAACCCTAGTTTTATATACAGTATAGTTGCATTATCATTGGATATTATACCAAAGTTCATGGTAACTGTTTATTGAAGGGCAGATCTAATTTCCCCTCTGTCTCTGTTCTTCATGCAGGACTGTACCTGTGATGATTTCTGTCCAGAGTGTTCTGTTGAGTTGACACTGGACGTTCGATGCACCGACGATCAGACGCGCCATGTCACCTCACGTGACCTTTTGTCCAACAACCCCAGAGTTATCCCGGTGAGTCCTCCGTTCGTATAGGTTATTACATGGAAGCAGAAGAAACGAGCTGACGGCTTTAACGTGGCTTTTCAGGTGACTTCCAGGAGTCGAGACAATGATCCCAACGACTACGTGGAACAATATGGTGAGCTGAAAGTCGTCTTGAGGGAGAAACATGAGTTGTTTAGCTCTTTTAACATTTTAAACATTGATCTGCTGTGTCCTCTCTCTGCTTCCTCCTTTTGTCATTCACTGACGCAATACAGACATCTTACTGGTGAAGCTCCGTAAAGGTCAGGAACTGCGACTCAGGGCATACGCAAAGAAAGGCTTCGGTAAGGAGCACGCCAAGTGGAACCCAACAGCAGGGGTGTCCTTCGAGTATGACCCAGACAACGCACTACGGCACACGGTCTACCCACGACCTGAGGAGTGGTGCGTTATTGTGCTCTACACTGGAGAATCATTTCTCACAACCCAAAACTAACTGTTTGTGCACATAACCTGACTGATGTGACATCATTCTTATATCTAGGCCAAAGAGTGAATACTCAGAGATTGAGGAGGATGAGGTTCAGGCTCCCTATGACCCCAACGGAAAACCAGAAAGGTGAGGAAAGAAGTTTCTTTACACTTTGGGAAACTTGAAGTAGGTGATTGGACGATTATATCATCTATCGGTGAACGGCTGAACTGCAGCGAGACTCATCCACAGCTCTTCCCCCTTTACAGATTCTTTTACAACGTGGAGTCATGCGGCTCTCTGCGGCCAGAGACCATCGTCATGTCAGCACTGGCCGTCCTCAAGAAGAAGCTGAGTGACCTGCAGACGCAGCTAAGCCATGAGATCCAGAGTGACGTTCTCACCATCAACTGAAGGCGTCTCACTAACAGTCCCGTTAACGTGTCAGTGGAATTTATGGATTCTCCACGGCCCTGCTGGGATTCTATCATTAGTTTTTTGTTAGTCTCAGAACGATCCAACCACATTTTTGTTGCTTTAAATGAATCAGTGGATTATTATGTCAAATAAATCTGTTTTTGAATAACATTTTGAGATAATAATAATTTCTCAAAGGGTGTGAGAGTACTATTATTATTGGCTTATTACAGATCAGTATTAAGGTGCCTGATATGTGCCAATATGAAATCCTATAACAAAACAATGCACAAAGGTATTTAGAAAATATTAGGAGTATAATATATATATATATAAATAATCAAATAAATAAATAGGTCAATCTAGTTTTTTTGTACCAAAATTAGCTACATGCCAATTTTTAAAGTAATACCTTAAACCGTGATATAGAACGGATCAAACCACAGTAAAAACTGGTCGAAACAAAGGGACTATAAAAATTACAACAAATAAAAAACACACCAAAGATTCAGTTTTTACTGTGACACTTGAAACTTCACAGAGAACCAGAATTAGCTCTTTTTCAGAGGGAGGAAAACAGCCAGATAAGTTTCAGAACAAACAAGATGAAAAGACACATGACTGAGTACCCCTTCAATAAACTTTATCAGTCTTTATAAGTAACAGAGAAACAGTCGTAACAACAGAAAAATACAACATGGTAGGGGTCCACTCAACCACAAAGGGTAAAAAAAAAAAAATGGATGAATCAGATTTGTGTTGCTGCAGTGTTTTCAAGCATTTATACAGTTTCTATTTACTATTTGACATTCATTGAAAGTTCACTGTACTTCTTTTTCTGCTAGCAAACCACACCAAATTTAAATTATTTATTCTCTAGACATTTCTTTATTTTCTTTTAATTCGGCTGCCAAAACCCTTCATCACAACAAATAAAGACTTCACCCTAATATTAAAACTTTTGTCGTCACTGTTTCACCATTATGTGAGACAACTTATCCCTCATGTATAAACATTTTAATGGACCAAAGATAAGGGGAAAAAATGATAACTATCAAACTAATGAAAGATGAAGGCACCAGAACCAATGTTATCAGTCTCTTACTTTTTGTTTCATGAACTTAAAATACAGAAACATGAACCAACTCGAGTCCAAGCAGCACCTTCGTTTCTGGGGGTTCCTGAACCTGCACCTCAGACAGGACAAAGTTACACACTATGTGGAAAACCAGTTGAATTATTATTATTTATATCTGTGTCAAGCCTTTTAAAGGGAAAAATTTAAACTGACTCATTATGCTTGCTGTTCCAAAGTCGAGGTTGAAAACTAAAGGTGACCATGCTTTTTCCATCAGGGTGTCTCGGCTTATTTAAGTTTTTATTTACTGTCAAAGCACATTGTAATTTCTGTTTTTAAACAGTGCTTTATAAATACAATTAATTATTATCATTACCATTTACTCACCACTATGCCAATGGAGGGGTGGGTAAAGTTTTTGAGTCCACAAAACACTTTTGAAGTTTCAGGGACACTTGGATGACACCACAGGAGCTGTGTGGAGGCATTTGGTTTTTTCTGTTGTTTCTTGAGTGAATTGTTTTGGTAAACTATCTCTAGTTCACATAGAAATGAATATTCATTATCTACACATCACTATGCCGATGGAGGGGGTGAGAGAAAGTAGTAAACAGTGTTAGAGCAGAATCCAATTCAACTGGGGTAACTGGTGACCAAAGCTTCAGATGTAATAAAACAACAGAAAAAAAACTAACATTCCTCCATACAGCTCCTGGTGTGTCATCCAAGTGTCCGTAAGCCCCAGCATTCAAATCGACTCGAAATGAGGTCATTTACAACATGTTTTAAAGGTACAGTGTGTAGAATTTTGTGATATCTAGTGGTGAAGTTGCATGTTGCAGCTGAACACCCCTCACCCTCTCCTTCCAAACATGAAAAAGAAACTGTGGAAACCTTCAGTTGTCATAAAAACTCAAAAGGTGTTTAGTTTGTACGACTGTAAAACACATGGCGGCCTCCATAGAGAGGACCCCCCGGATGTAAATATAAAGTATTTAAATATAAAGGGCCTTTTCTGTGTTAAAGAAAACAACAATTATTATAATTTAGATGAAACACACTAGAATGAAAACATAGGATTATTTTATATTCAATTTCTGCCAATAGACCCCTTTCACCTAAATCTTATGAACCTTTAAGCGTCCGCTGATATCTTCCGACGAGGTGCGTTTAGGGACCTTCAGACATGCTAACGTCTGCTAGCTTAGCCACTTTTGGTGGACTTTTAGGCTTAAAACATGGTGGAAATGACCTTGTTCTAGTCGATTATGAATGTTGGGGCTTTTGGACTCTTGGATGACACCACATATGTTTTTTCCCTAACCCCCGCAATAGCCTCGTCCATCGCAATAATTCACTGCATACATGGTCATATGCCAATTAAAGGTACAGTGTGTAGAATTTTGTGATATCTAGTGTTGAAGTTGCAGCTGAACACCCCTCACCTCACCCTCCCATTCCAAACATGAAAAAGAACCTGTGGTAGCTTCAGTTGTCATAAAAACTCAAAAGGTGTTTAGTTTGTCCAGTCTGAACTAATGTAAAAAACATGGCGGCCTCCGTAGAGAGGACCCCCTTGATGTAAATATAAAGTATTTAAATATAAAGGGCCTTTACTGGGGTAAAGAAAACTACAATTCATACAATTTAGATGAAATGAATTACTGAAAATATCATGAGGATTATTCTACATTAAATTTCTGCCAATAGATCCCTTTCACCAAAATCTTACACACTGGACCTTTAAATTCACATCGCCTGGAACCTACTTATAATCGTACTTTGATGATCTGGATGTTCTCTACTGCCCCAAAACAAGCACAAACTGGAGGAGCTACTCAAAGCTGGAAGTGGTACAATTACAGCTCACAACACAGAAATAAATAAACCTATTGGAGAAAGTGCTGGATTTGTTTAGTTTAGAAACAAGACTTATTGTTTGTGATTGCAAGTGTGACCCACATGGATGGGGTGGACAAATTAATAGAGGCATGTATCCATATAATGAAATGCAATTAAACAGGACCACAATCTGCAGCCTACAAAATAACCATTATGTTGAATAATCTACAAAGAAGAGCACATGCTTCACGAAGGAGGGATTTATAGCTGGACTGTTTTATTTGTTTTCATTTGATCAAATTTTAGCCTGGAGGTTAAGTAAGGTATCTCTGATGCGCCTCTCGCAGGTAACATGCACAAGCCACGCTAACTGGCTCAACATTAAGGAGCAGCAACTCTGAACTCAACGTTGCTGGATGTTGGAGCTTCTTAAGCTGCCAAATCAGTCTATAATCTATACTCTCTTATATTCAAGTGCCAAAGGCGGCTTTGGTCATTTTTAAAGTTGTACATTGTGAGATTTACCATGACAGAGCTATTAACTAGAAATGAAAAATGGCAACAGCAAAAATAAATAGGGACAGACCCTATCTTCTAAATGGAAAAAAACTCAACCCTTTGGTATTTTTCTTTTTTTACTCACATGGAGGTGAACAGATTCTGACAAAAGTTATGGATGAACACTTTCATAACATTTAACTGTGAAAGTCACATTGCATGTCACTTTATACTTGAGACATATTTATAAATCAGACTTTTAGCAGTAGCTAAATGTTTGAATCTCAATGTTCTGAAACGTTTACTTAATTCACTGCAGAGGTTTCTATCCACAGATCCCTGACAGTACAGACCTCATGATTAAGGAGGTCAATGGTCACAACACAACGTATGAAACAACTATTCCTGTGATCCTTAGATTATAATAGAAAACCGGAGTGTTGTAGAAAGACACGTTTATCTTCAGTCACTCTCACTGCTACTCTCTGAGTTCACATACCAGTTATCCTCTCCTGTGTTCCCCACAAACCACGGACCTGAGACCAAAACACAAAAAGCACACACATCAATTTAATGAAGCAAAAAAGAGGATTTATTTCTCAGGTTTTTACAAACTATGGTTCTTACCGTTTGGTGCTTTGTCTTCATTGTCTTCAAAATGCTGCATATCATAACTCACAAAAATATTCTGTAAGAGAAAATAGAGAATATACAGCAGGATGGGGATTTTGTCATTTTAAGGTGCAAGGCCATTTGGCCTTTGGTGTAACAGATTTTTCTGAGGCACAGAGATCATTGAATTAAGGGATGTGAATAACAAAGAAAAGCTGTTGGTAGTTAGATAAGTATGTTAAGTGAAGCTTAAAAAATTCAACTGTATGAACATGAAAAAAAACAACATTTCAACTTCGGATTTCAAAATATAATTTTTGTATGTCTGATTATGTGCTAAACAGTGTTAACTCATGAGATCAGGCATTGGAAACTTTGTTATATGGTGATAATGCCATACAGTGTTTTTGTCACAGCAACATGCACAGTGAAAGCTGTAGTGAGTTTATAATGAATCCTGCCTGTGTGTAAAAACTTTACGAGCCATAAACGTTGTGAGAGAGGTTGAAAGGACGAGAGACTGAGAAAAGAGTGTGAGAGAGCAGAGTAGAGTGAAGCACTTCACACAGCTCTTAGGTAGCAGTGATACAGAGAACACAATGCTCAAAATACATTCAGATAGAAATTCTAAAAAGCATCAAATATAAATAGAATGACAACAAAAAATGTCGAAAGGCGATCATTTCAAACTGCTCCATCGTTTTCACGTGATATTGTGATATTTACATAAATACAGCTTTACCTAAATTTAAATAGAATATAGTTTTGCAATTTGCATGTCTTATAGTGTGAACTAAGGAATAAAAAAATGGCTCTATTACATTAGTAAAGTAAAGAGGGATTCATTGGCTGAAAGCTGGAGCATGGTAAGTGGGGGGGTAGCTTGTTTTGTCTAGTGGATGTGTGAATCACATTTTTGGTCAGATTTTTGAGTTGTAACATCAACAACAACAAGTATAGTACATCTAAGTAAAGTGCAGTATGATGATATCAAATAGTATTTTGGATTACTGTATTTTGATGCTTTCCAGACTTTCCAAGTCAAGCAGTACATTTCTGAGGTGGACCAAACAAAATGAGCTCCAGTACCTTGTTCCTGAGTAGTTTCTCCCAGTGCCCCTGCTGTTGTTTGACCAGTTTGAGGACTGGCTCATTGTACTTCATTTCCCAGCAGCAGCGGTCCACAGCGATGTTGCCCTGAAGCTCCAGGTCAGCTCTGTAGGACTTACTGTTCACTCTGCCACTGAGCGCAATCAGCAGAGAGGGAGAATGTTAATCTGATCATATAGAGAAACGAGGACTTACTTCACTGTTCTTCCTTTTTGCTATTTTGCACTAAGAGCTGTTAATTTACTGTTATGAACTGCACTGCACTCTCCTCTGTGCTTCCATAGACTAGAAAACATGAGCATGAGAGCGAGAGAGGAGTGAGCGAGTGGAGTCAGCAGGACTGACCAAACAACCCCCCTCCCAAAAAAATCAAGCGACAATGGACTCAGCCAATCAGTTAGATGATGTATTCGTCTAATTGCCTGACCCTAAAATCAATGTCCCAATAAAGAAGAGTAACAGATGAATCAGAAAATAAAATATCATTGACTGTGACTCAGAACTATGTTGGATATGTCTCTTTAATATGACACCACCGATATTCTTCCTGGTCATGGTTTAACCTCAGGTTTGTTGTGTGTTTAATTCACACAGATGCTATGCTAAACATGTGCCCACCAGTGTAAAGTGCTCCACTGAATGGGATGTGAAGGAGGTGAGTGATCAATGGTGGTCTGCTCCTGACAGACCTGTAGATGACCCTGTCAGGGTAGAAGTCACAGTGCTGACTCTCTGGGTTCATCAGCTTCACTGTTACAATCATGGAGTCGGACGTCTGGTACCAAAGGATCTGAGGGTGGAAACTGAACAATACAGAGTGGAAACAAATGCATTTAACCTTTAGTTTTATAATCAACCACCTTGTTT